GGAACCACCCTCAAACCACCGACCACACAAAGGGTCAGTTTCCTCCAGAACAGAACCCACTTCCTCCAGAAACTCTACAACATTAACAACCTCCCTCAGAATGCCATCCTTGTCACTGTGCATGACACCTCCCTAGACACCAACATAGCATCGCTGCCTGCCTCAAATATCTACAAGGCAATAAAACACTCAGATATCCACACCAAACACACAGCCAAACGCAGTCATTTCATCCTCACCTTTAGCAATTTTACATTCATCAAGCACTTTGTCCAGAAATTCTTCCTCAAGGTGGCTCATCAAGAGATTGGCATACCGGAGAGCCATCCCAGTACCCATGACTGTTCCCATGTGTGATTAATGTGCATAAGCCTTGTCAAGTAGTGTCAGGCTAAGCAGTGTTAGGCCTAAAACTTCCGGAAGTTGTAAAAAGCGAGCACAGTTAAATACTGCAAGCATAAGCATAATCTAGCTAGGAAGCTTTATAGACTAAAAAGGAAACTCTGTAAAGATAGATACGGACTTGGGGTTACTATGCTCTGCAACCAAACACCTCTTTAAGCTGACTCAAGCATTTTTGAGTCTAGCAAATTGACCACAATTAGCCGCATAGAGAAGAGATGAGCTGAGCACAGGTGCACAGTTCATAAGATCAAGACAACTGCAAATACCACACTAGAACATTTGGCCACCTTAATTGGTTGACCTGTTTTGAAACACGGCCAGCAAATACCGTATAAAAAAAGTGCAAAAACGCAAGTGTTTGTGTGTGTGTTCACCTAAAAGAGATCTCTCTTTGTCAGGCTCACATACACTCCCTGAACCAAAGGGACTTGCGCTTCACTGACTACCTGTGCCTGGCCAGTGCAGAAAACCGTCGACTGAATGTAATGTACCTTTGGAAGAATGCAAGGTAAGGTTTCAGAGTGAAGAGGTCTGGTTATGCTCAAGCTAGTTAATCTTAAATCTGTATTAACATTATAACTTAATTATTTTAGTAAAGTGTTTTAAAATTGTTTAAGTTGATTAGAGGTATTTGTAGTCAATAGTTAATCAATATATAACTGTATATGTTTTTGTGCCTTGCTGGAAATGGGTACAGTGCTGGTGAAGCTAGTAATTTGTAAACAATAATAGCTTTGCATGTTGCTGTGCCTGTCTTCAGTATAAGTTGTCATTCAGTTTATCATAAAAGCCAGTAGAAGTTTATAAGTTGTTAAATAAGTTGATAGGTAGGTTAAAATTAGTAAACTATAGTTAATTAATGTATCAGTATTGCATATGAATTTGTGTTGGTTGGGGATGGTTACAGTACACGTGAAGTCGCTAGGCACATTCTGTCTGTGTTGCCTTTATAGTCATAAGTCATTAAAAACCTTTCTTGAGGAATAATTAGTTGTTTAGTTTCTCTTTTGCGGACACTACTCAGCCTCATTACATCTGTGTTGAGTGGTGGGAACTAGCGATCACGCAGAGCCCCATCAGGGCCCTGATGTGTGCCTCCTCCTTCCATTAATCTCCACACCATGGTTTGGACAAACGCACCATGAAAACAATGATAAACCTGAGATACATCAATGATCTTTTCATTCTCTGGACAGATGACAAACTCCCTCACAGATGTCCACCACAACTTCAGTAACCATCACCCATCCATCAAACTCTCTCTAGAACACTCCCACACCAGCTTCCTGAATGCCATGATCAGCTTCAACAATGGAACCCTATAAAAACTATATATGAGAAATTCACGGATCACCACACTTACTTCCACAGATCCAGTAACCAACCTAGACACACTAAGAAAACTATTATCTTCAGCCAGGCATTCAGATATTAGAGAATATGCTCCAAGGAGAAAGTCTGGGATACACACTTTAACCTGCTTAAAACCACATTCACCAAACAAGGACACTCCACCAGAGAAGTAGATCGCATCATGGAACAGGCCACCCAAATCCCCAAGAAAATCTGCTTCAATACAGAAAAAACACCACTGACCGCATGCCCCTTGTAGTCACCTACCACCCCATGTTGGAACTCATGAGGAGTATCGTTAAGCAATTACAACCCATACTTGATGAGGACCATAGCCTCAAAGAAATCTTTCCCGAACCCCCTTTTCTGGCCTTCAAACACCATATTTGCTAGAATTAAAAAAAAAAAATTCAGCCTGGAGCAGACACCTATGATGGACAATTTCAGCCCAAATGGTTTAAGTTTCACAAAGTTATAAGCAACTGTACACAGTCTTATAAGAGGACATGTCCAGCAACCTTAAGTATAGGTGTCGCTACCAGCTATGCCTGTAACACAGAGGTGGGCAAACTATGGCCCGTGGGCCACATCTGGCCCGCGGGACTGTCCTGCCCGGTCCTTGAGCTCCCGGCCGGGGAGGCTAGCCCCTGGCCCCTCCCCTGCTATCCCCCCTCCCCTGCAGCCTCGGCTCACCATGCTGCCAGCGCTCTGGGCGGCAGGGCTGCGAGCTCCTGCCGGGCAGCGCGCCGGCGTGGCTGGCTCCATCCGGGCCGCACGGCTGCCAGTCCTACTGCTCTGAATGGCATGGTAAGGGGGTGGGGAGCGGGGGGGCTGGATAAGGAGCAGGGGGTCCTGGGGGGCAGTCAGGGGACAGGGAGCAGAGGGGGGTTGGATAGGTGTGGGAGTCCCGGGGGGCCTGTCAGGGGGCAGGGGTGTGGATAGGGGTCGGGGCAGTCAGGGAGCAGGGGAGTTGAATAGGGGGTGGGGTCCGGGGGGGCAGTTAGGAGTGGGGAGTCCCGGGAGGGGGTGATCTGGGGACAAGGAGTAGGGGGGGTTGGATGGGTGGGAAGTTCTGAGGAGGGCAGGAAGTGGTAGGGGGCAGAGGCCAGGTTGTTTGGGGAAGCACAGCCTTCCCTATCTGGCCCTTCATACAGTTTTGGAACCCCGATGTGGCCCTCAGGCCAAAAAGTTTGCCCACCCCTGCTGTAACATGTGCACATGTGTGTGCAAACCCCCAGCCCTTAAACCTTGCTTGTGTGTCAAGGGTGTATTACACACAATCCCAACAGCAGCTGCACCACTGTGGAGTGCTCTGTACAGATCAATGTGTGGGACCGAGACCACTGTGTATTCTAGGCAAGGGCTGCATGGATAAACTCTGTGCTATTCCACTAGCAGAGCAGTGCCTACAAAGGGTCTAACTGGGACATCAATAGCTTAAAGTTTTAACAGGGAAGAAATCACACAGAGCATTGGAGCATATGCGGCCAAGCAATCCACCCTGGTCATAGTTCTGGACAGGAACTGGATTTTTTGATTCCTGGGACATGCCACACATTTGAAAAAAAAAATCCATCCAAGAAGAGAATGAAAACAATTTTTTTTTTAAATTTCCTCTAACGTGAAATTCCAAAGAAAACAATCATTTGGGGTCAGTTGAAATGTTTGGTTCCAGTTTTGACTTTTTATTATGTTTTTGTTTTAATGTATAATATAAAAGATATTTCAAAAATAACAAAAAAATGTTTCTTTGGCAAATTCCTGACCAGCTCTATTCCCCAGCCATAGAAAAGCAGCCTGCTCTGATTGTTCCAGTCCAAGGTGAAGCCACTTTGTTCCTGAAAGCAGGCTGTTAAGGAAAGCACTGATCGTACCACTGATTCACGCCCCCCTCCTTCCCCAATCAGTGTCAGGGCAGCTAGTGCCTGGCACACTGGAAGCTGCCCACGGCTTTTGGAGGGCTGGGTTTTGGGCAGATCGTCAGCTGACATGGGCAGCAGCAGCTCGCTGGGTCTGTCCTGCCACCTGTTCTTTCTCCGGTTCTGGGGGAACGCAGCCAGGAGAGGCTGGGTCGGGAAGCAAAGCGGGGGCTCCGCGACACAGGCAAAGGGGCTAAGGGCAACAGCGGGTCCAATCTGTAACCTACTCAAGTGCCCAGATGAGAGAGGCCCCGCAAGGCGGCCACTGTGCACACGCTGACACGCCCAGACAGCGCACAATGCACACACACATACAATGCACACGCTTGACACGCGCTCTACGCACACAATGCACACGCTGACACACGAGGCACACGCTCTCCACGTGCAGTCGGGCACACTAGCCTAGTGCCCACACACACACACGCGGCGCCCGGAGCAAGGCGAGTCCTGGCCAGGGGAGCCCGAACCGGAGCCGGAGCCAGCACGGGGTTCTAGCTGCAGCTCCCGGAAGGGGCATGGGGGAAGAAGGGGCCAGTCTCGCTGGGATCCTCCCCCCCTCCGCCCCATTCCCACGCACCCGGACAGATCCTGCTGGGCTGATTTGATTGGTCACATGACAGCAGCCCAACCCCCCCTCCCGCCCCCCCAGCCAGGGGCTGCTCCTGACTCGCAGCCGAGGGGGTGGGGGAAGATGTGTCTGGGGGGAGGAGAGATGAGGGAGGTTGAAATGCAAACAGCGACAGATTAACAGTAGGACACCCCCAGCTTCCTTCCCCTCCCCCCCCCCCAGGGTCCCCTAGCCGCGCACACCTGCTGCTGCCCTCTCTTTGTGCAGTGCAGGTGTCCCCCCTCCCAGCCCCCTCCCAACCCCACTGTGATGTCACACTCCCTCTCGCGGGGCATGATGGGAGAATCCCAATGTTTTCCAACAGATGCTCTAAGAAGAGCAGCCGATTAAAGCAATTGCAGGAGCGAAGATTTTGTTCTTGGGTGGGAGGGGGGAGTAAGGGGGAGGGGAGAGCCCAGCCCCAGCTCATGCCAGCCCCCCCCGGAGCAGCCTGAACGCAGCCCCCTGAGCGGCACCGAGAGAAAGTTCGCCAATGAGTGGCAATAGGAGCCCAGCGCATTAGGGGCATCTCTGCGGCTGCTGGATGGTGCAGGTGGGGAGCACTGACGGGAGCTGGCGGAAGGAGGCCGGGGAAGATGCTGCCGCGGCGGGGGCTGCCTGGCTGAAGCTGCCGGCGGGCTGGACGCCATCCCCCCCTTCCCCATTGTGACCTTGGCGTCCTCCCCTCGCCTCTGAGACCCCCCCCCCCACCTATGGCTGCAGCGGAAGAAGGGGCCGGCTGTTTTCTCCCGAGAGGCAGGTCCCAGAGTGACCCCAGCATCCTCACGGACTGCGCTGCCCCTGAAGCCGGAGAGTCCCCAGGTAACAGCCCCCCCGCCCCCAACAGAGCCGGGGGAAGAGGGGCGTGGAGGGGGGGGGACGGGACGCAGAGGGGGGTCCCTCTGCCATCTGCTGCAAACCTGCCCGCCCAGGCACGGCAGGAAATTAGGGGCATAGTCCCCGCCGTAAAGCCTGAAATGAGGCAGGGGCTTAGCTGCAAACAGGATTGCCCCAGAGCCTCCCGGGTGCCTGGCCAGCCCGCGACTGCCTGCAAACTCCGCGTGCACCGGGGAGGGAGGAGCGGGGCTGAGATCAGAGCCTGCCCCCCCCCCCTCGGACTGCACGGGAGGGGTACCTCAGGGCCCGCAGCTCTAGAGCTACTGGAGCCCAGCATCGGCTGCTAGCAGGCATTTCTCAGCACAATAACGGCCCTTGTGTGGACCCACGCCGGTGGCAGCCTTGGGGAGAGCTGCAAGAGCTGCTTTAGCACAGGGGGGTGGACACTCTTCCCCCCCACCCCCTAGCCAGTCCTCCCCTGCCAGGAGGAAGCCATGGGGCAAGCAGGGCAGGGATCCAGCCAGGACTGTCGTTCATGCATGCACCCAGGGAGAGGCCCTGGAGTGAGGAAGGCAGAGGGGCTGGATTTAGAAGCTACAGCACTAAATGCAGAAGGCAGTACTCCTACCTAGGCCAATGATTAATACTTTGATTCAGGCTTATGCATAGCTGATTTATTTCTGTCTGGAGGGGGAGAAAAGGGTCCAGTACAACAGAAGGGAACAGGCTGTTTGGATAGGATCACCATGGAGACAGGAGGAAGCAGAGTAATAATTAAATTGCCCCCCTGCCCCCAAGAAGGTAATTTTCACTTCATACAGAGAAGCATAATCTTCTTATGAAGTGTAGTGGCAGAGAGGACTGAGGTACCAATATCCAATCACACTATTCTATTTATAAATGAAAATGAATTATTTCACCAGCACCAGCTAACAAACATTTTCAGCTTAGCTTCACTTTAAAGAATAGTTCTTCCATTAAATACAGATGTCTTTAGTGGTGACGGTATAATTTCAAAGTGCCAATATCAAAGTGATGATGATCCTTTGGAATAAAGAAAAGGTTGGCTCTGCTGGGTGAAGATTTCCTCTAGTCAACTCAGAAACTCCACATAGCTTGAGTGTGATGTGCTTGCAAGGAAAGGCCCAACAACAAGTAACTGGAAGCAGAGGCCATGCTCCAATTTACCCTGACTTTATATAAACAGTGGACCATTTATGAGCTGTAAGGTTTCTTTGTGAGGGTTATTGACATACAGAATGATTAAACAAAACAGGGTAAGCTGTGTGGTTTCTACCACTCTGAAACAATGAAAGATGTGTAACTCTTAGTGGCCCAATATATTGAATTCTAAACATAGAACTCAGGGCCTGACCCCAAAGCTAAAGGAAGCCAGTAGAGAGGTGCCTCTTGAATTAAATGGGTTTTAGATCAGGCCTTAGTTCCTCTTTTGCAGATTGTGATTAAACACTCCCAGCCTTCTTTGATGGGTCTGCTTGCCAAAATCATTCCCAGAGAAGCAGACTATACATTAATAATTAGGACAATTTTAAGTTTGATTAGTTTTCCTTATCAAACAATTCTGAGCATCTTTGTAGCTCTGCAACTAGATGAAACAATGAAATTAATGGAAATGATAGAGGATTTCTCTGATGCCCAATTGTGGTCGTACCCCACATAAAGGGAACAAAGGATGCCTCTAACATGAAGTGCTAGACTTTCTGCTTAAGGGACAATACTGACTGAAAGAGAGGAATCTATGCTTCTGCTATTTGATTTCTGGAGGCAAAAGTGACTAGTGAAAGGAAAATTATATGCATACAATCTAATTTCAGCCCTTTCTTGTATATTTCAAAACAATCAATGTGGGAAACAGCAAATGTAACAGACAATCTAATTTTTAAAATCTATTTGATATAAGGGAAAATAAACACATGCTTTTTTGAAAAGAGGTACTGTTACCAGCACATTTTCTTCAATGAAAATGCCATAATTTAAGACCAAACATCCCAGTGGCATGGCAGCTGCTGCACAAAGTATGCAAAAAAATCTCCCCCTCTCCAAAAAATATACTGCAAAAGCATTATAAAAGGAAACAAAAGGCAACAATACCTACAGCCTGTGTATAGTGTTGTATTATGTAGATTAAGGAAACCCTACATAAATTTGTTTTATTTTTTCATGTAATTTACAAATATGGATTTTGTTAGCAAACAGTTAACATCTAATGTTAGATGTTACATCTAATGTTTTCAGTACTAGTACTACTTTACCTGCAAAATTACAACTTTTTTGCCATCTAATTTGTGGACAAATTGTTTTTCTCTCTATTTCAAAGATTTAAGCATAATTTATGCCAGGCTATGAATTAGCTGTCATCCTACAGAGTTACATTTTCATCTTACTTCCTTACTAATAGAAAGAATAATAATTTGGTTTTATGTTTAGTTCTAAAACCAAACACACATATCTATGGATGCAGAGTCAAAATAACTTTTAGACCTGATCATTCTACAATGTAATGTTTACATTTACATCTCAATCCTGCTTCCATTTAAGCCTTGCTTTAGACATCAGAGGAGTAGAACTGAGTCCTAATTTCAACTTTTAGGTTTCTGAACTGTATTTAAAAGTAGTGGCCTAGTTAAAAACTCAGGCCAAAAGAGATATTATTTATACTTCAAGTTATACAGACAAAAGTGCCAATAGCAAAGTAGAATTCTACAAAATGATTTACAATTTTTAAGATATGCATGGCAAACTTTAGCATCACAACATAAATCACGTACACAAAAAGTAATCATCTGGGTGTGAAGTATTCTTTGAATGTATTAGGGGGTTTGTGATCTAATAAGAGTTAGAGGATGATGCTTAAAGAAAGCAGTTATCCATGTAATTGGGCAGTTAACCTAACTAAATGGCTTTTATAAAGGAAGATAACCAATATCACATCACTGACCTTGGCAAAAGCACAAGGGTAACATTTATTCAAGGATGAATTATGGGGAAAAAAAATCCAATATGTTAGGCACAAACATATGGCTTTCCTTCAGCACCTGGCATACAGATTTTGTTCTTGGATCAAACCTTTACTGAGGTCAGTACTGAAAACCAGTCACCTTGACCTTGTGGTTGTGTTCGACTGTTTTTTTCTTGGTGGAGGGACACTGAGTATTCAATTTTTTAATTTTATTTTTTTGGCCACGAAGACTTGGATTTAATTGAACAACTGGAGGGCTGAGCGGCCTTCTGCTCCAACGTTTACTTGGCTGTGCCTACACTGGGAAAACGCATCATGATAGAAAATGTGGTAACAGATATTAGTTAACGTGTTTTCTAGAGTTTCATTTCCCCGGTGTAGCCATGGCCTTTATTTAAGCAAGTTGCATATTCCTCCTCTTGATCTATGAAGTCCCAGTATGAGTGTTTTTTGGCCCCATCATTAGCCAGGAGTACATGCAGTGACACTGACATGAGAAGATGCAGAGGCAATACCCTTTAGTTTTCCATCCATCCATCCAAGAGAGCTCAGTTCTGGGGCAATATCAGTTTTTCAGTGAGCTCCTGCTTTTTATCCAATTTTACAGCCAAGTTGAATGAGGCACAGCAAGGTTATACACTTGCTCAAGTCATATAGCGAATCAGTGACTCAGCTGGGACGAGAGCCCAGAATGCTTCAGGTAATCACTAGACTAGATCTCCTTCTGGCTGATTTGGACAAGTCAAATGGCAAACTCAGGGACCTTCCTATGAACAGATTGTGCTGAAAGTCTTTTGCCCTATGTTAGGAAACTATCTAGTTGGAATTGAAGTCTGTCTTTTTGGGCTGGGATACTACTTAGAGCCAAATCCTCCGAAGGATTTCCCCAGGTCTGGGATAAGTTATCTTCTTTTTCTTTATATGGTTCAAAAACAAGCTCCTTCTTCCTGTATGAGGAAGGGACGTCTAAAGTACCTAATTGGCCAGACTCCATGCAGATACTAAGAGAACTTGCTTGTGCAAATAGTTTCAGAGCTTGATTTTCAGAAGTGCTGAGCACCCACAATTCTGGCTGTTGCCATTCGGAGCTGCAATTGCTCATTGTCTCTGACAAAAATCAGGCCCATATTTATAGTGGGGTTTTTATTATACAGTATTCTCTGTACAAATGAAAAGTTATTACCTTGATTTACTACAAAATTACAGCAAATGCGCAGGCCAGTGCTAAATTCTGTTCCAAAATCTGCTTTGTAAAATTGTTTTTAAAATGATATGTTAAACTGCATATTATAAAATGTTCCTACAGCAAATAAAAGACATGATGTTCAGTACATGTAGACAACAGGCTTAACAGTAACATGTGTTACTAAATAACAGGCCTACAAATCTGCTAATAATTAGACCCTTCACATGCCTTTAATTAATAACAGCTCCTTGCAGTGATCTTTTATCATATGGCAGCCATGGTCTGAGAATGAAGTGTAGGTTTTGTCTGCAGTGGGCATCATTACCAAGTGGACATTTCCCAGCTGCAGTGGTTCGTTTAACAAGTTTAAATGTAAGGAATGCTGGAAGTAGTGTTGGTAAGAGGGATGGATTGGTTTTTTTTAAGTGGAGCCATCTGTATTTTATCATGAAAAAGAAAATTCAAATAAGTGCATTTTGGGTTGAGATTCAGTGAACTCTTGTACCACCAGTGAGCGCAAGTGACTAGGTTCTTGAAAGCTGGTGAGTTCTTTGCCTTGGTGAGAATGAATACAATATTGCAAATTTAAGGCCTGATCTGTCAATCTTCACTCAGCCATGTCTGGGGCACGGGTCACTTGGTTTGTACTAGAGTAACTGGTGGATTCTTTGCAACTTGAAGTCTTTCGGTCAAGATTGGAGGACTTCAGTAACTCAGCCAGAGCTTATGGGCCTATTGAGTGTGTGGGTGGGTGAGGTTCTGTGGCCTGCAACATGCAGGTGGTCAGACTGATAGACTTTAAGGCCGGAAGGGACCATC